ACCAAATGGGATGAAATGAAGCTTTGCCGGGGATATTTCATAGATAATCGCTGTCCTTGAGCGTTCGCTGAACGGAATCGAATGCAACTAAAGCGCGCAACGAAGAACGTTTCTAGCCAACGTCATCGCAGAGCCATCCGTAAATGAAACAAGTCTCAGAAAACGTAGTAAGATTCGTCGTGCCTTGCGAATTTCATTTGTCCACAAGCCCACCTCAAAGATTTGCCAGCACGTGATGCGGCCAACAGATCCTATCCATATATAGGAGAAGTCAGCCATTTTCTCCCGTTTTCAGTGAACTTGCGGGGTACACACACGAATGAATAAGAATCGGTCGGACCAAAAGTCGGAGCTTACAACGCAGGCTGACGAGATGGGACGCTTTTTCAACTTTTACACGATTTAAATTCGGAATTCGTCATCAGGCCAGTAGAGTTGTTCAGGATTAATAAATGTCCTTTGATTACAACTCATCGTTTTCACGCCGTCCGCACGAGGAGTTTGGCGTAAAGAGGTCAGTGCGCTGGGGGAGGAGATAAGGGGAGGAAATTAGAATAGGCTGTGAACGTGAGTCGTGGGTCAAGTACGTAGAGTGATTATTATTGTCATTTACAGGGAGTGAACGACCGTCACTAAGGTGTGGGAGCGATATGCGACCGACGTCGGCAATGGATTCGCTAGCTATTTAGCTACTACCGTTGGAATTGTAGGCTGAGATGATAAATACAGATAAAAGATGCCTGGATGTCGGCCGGACGCCAAGTTAACCGCCGCATCAATTTTCCCACCCCCTATATAATTAAACGAACCTTCATATTAGGACGGAAGAGTGGCAGTTTGTGAGGTGGAATGTTCGGTCTATAAAAATCGGTAGATGGCACAACTACCCGAATCGTCAGACACCTGATAAGCCACCAACAGGGAATGCTCCTTCTTCGTTTACAATTATAGAATTTCCACTTATATCGCATTTTGTGTTTTAGGTTGGTGTACCGAAGTGTTCATATTTGCGTGTATTGTCGAATACTGATAAGCGCAAATAGTTTTTCAAGACACAACAACGCATTCTGTGTGCATAAATCGTCGCATCAATTTGAAAAAAGTCCATCTTATATGGGCTCATTGATCACCTTGTTCATTTTGGTGTGCCGAGGTGTTCATATAGACGCCCTAACTGAAATCACAAGTATTGTAGAGTCCAAATCAGAACGTATGTTTTTTTTATTTGCTTCCTTTTGTAAGAACTAATTACCTATCTTTCCGGTAGACCTAAGAGCAGCATGTGGCTGTTTATTCTACGGAAGTCTTTTGTCTTAATATGCCACTTAACGACAGTGCACCCTCATACGCTTAAGCGAAACTCTTGTATGATATTGAAGATTCCATGCGTTCGCATTTATCAGTTTACTTTTGGGAAATGATGTTTTGCCCTAAGATCTGCCTCAGTGCTGTCGTCCGCAGTTGCATGAGTTTTATTTCCTACCTTCTGTGAAAGAGTTTCATCAAATTTCAATTTTTACATTTAGGCATGTACAGCCAATATGCCAAGGATGAATCGTAGTGCACTTCAATCAAGTGAAACAACGTTGTCCTGACACTTTCAGCTATCACTGCGGCATGATTTGTCCTACGATCACGTAATAAATAGAGGTTCAACTAAATCGACTTACTCCTTCCTCCATTTCTCCCGCCCTCATGTACTCCGAATGCAAGAACTGTGCTCTGTTTAATGGGCCCATAGAGCACTTAAAAGCCATACGCACCGGGCAAATTTATGCAACTGAATAACAGCTAAAATATTTTTTCAAAATTAGGTTGATATCCTGTCATGATGCAGAATATGCGGCAGCAACGGCTTTAGAAACATGCAACTGATAAGTACTATCTAAAAGACGCAGAATCATCGCTCGCTTGACAGACGACAGTCAACATTCATCAGTTGCTTAATAAGCCGAGAAATGTCCTCATTGCTATAGGATAGTTTGGAATGGTGGAAAAAGTTCCAGTGGCTATGCAGGGAAATCTAAATACTGTTAGCCGTAGCAAAGAGAGCTGTCATGGTACCCAAAACTCAGATGGTTTTATTAGACAGACACACTTAACCCTATTAATGATCCACTACAAATAAGCGTACACAATTTTTTAAGACAAAGAAACAAACTCTGCGTGCTAAATTGCCGCTTTCAATTTGAACAAAAATCTATCTTATGAGAGGCTCGTTGATTACATGGATTGTTTTGCGATACTATTAATAATATTTCTTTAAACCAATACGCTTCGAAATGTATAATAGGCAGAAGGCATTGCGTAACACTGTCGAATCCATTTGTTACCCGATGTGATTTCACCTCGAATTATATAAAGAAAGCTTAAAGTTACTGTTA